CGGCAGCTCGCAGCAGCGGCAGCTCGGCGGGAGGACCGGCACCCTGGCCACGCTCTGATGGGTACCATGGACTTTAAGACAGATCCCAGTGCGGTAACGATCAATTTGCTGCTTATTGTCGACCCTGAGGAGAGAGCGAGCAAGCAGAAAGGGCAGAGAGAGGGGCAGACGGAAGGCAGCCGGAGCGCAGGTAACGTCCCGCCCGCAGTCGGTGCGAGGGAGGGGAGGGCTGCAGGTACAGCACCCGCTGCCCCGTAGATGGTGAAGCGAAGCAGCAGCTTTGGAACAGGGTTTGGGCTTTTCGTCCCCTAAAAAAAAATCCCTTTGCAGACATGCTGCAAAACCCCAAACTTGACACTTTTTTTTGGGGGAGTGGAGGGGAGAAACCCAGCGTGCCTTCGCTGGTCCTCCTGGTGCAGGAGAACCCTCGCTGGTGCAACGTAGCACGCTGCGTGCTGCTCGGGGTCTGGCTCTGGAGCGTGCAGCCCCAGGTGTAGGAGGAGGTGACATGCCCCCGGTTACTAACCCGAGGACCGTGTTTGCACCTTGCTCTGTCCTGCGGTGGCCCCGCGATGCCTCCGCGAGCTCTCGCGGCTGTGCGAGGGGAGCAGGACGAGAGCTCGGCGGTTTCACCCTAAACCAGCGCCTACTACAACGGAGTACGGGGGCAAAACTGTTTTGTTTGAAGCGTGTCTAGGCTTTGTCTCTAAGGATGACTGCCCTGAGCCATTTATAGCTACAGTTTGGGACAGTCTCCCTGGCCCAGCTCCTATCCTTCAGGGGATCTTCCAAAAAGCTAAGGCTGTGCTCTGCAACTGTAAAGGGACCCTCCCTGCAGAAGTAAAAGGAGAAAAAGGAGTATTCCTGCTCAAAAACCTTGGGGAATAGCTAGATTCTCAGACAGCTGGTTCCAGGCTAAGAAGGATAGGCAAAGCTAACAAACACAGAAGCTGTGTTCATGCTGCACCGAATATGGCATCCACCACCCACCCAAATACGAACAAGCCCTATTGAAGCAACTTAGACCTGGACTGTTGCACTTTCTTCCTCCCAGTATTTCATACTCTAGTAACAGGGGCTGCAACAAACGCTGCAGACGAGACAGGGAAGGTGGATCCCGACGACGCCTGGGTTCAGCTGGAATGATGGCTTACACAAAAGGTTTTGGGGTACTTGGCCTCCAGGCAGTGCCAGAACCTCACTCCAGGAGGACAGCCTGCCAATCTCACATTTATATTTTATAGGTTTGCAGGATGATGGAAATGGAAACAGCAGATCACAGCCACCTCAGGGGAGAGACCTTAACGGTATGTCACCTTCTCCCTCTACTGATAAACTAACCACAGTACACAAAACCCACTCACAAGCTTTTAGCACCCACCTGTGCCTCTCGAGCATAAGCGTGCTTGAAACAACCCACCCCTTTCCAGAGCTTTGGGGGGCTTCAACGGAGACACGCGGAGGGCCCAGGGCCATGTGCCATGGGAAGCGTCCCCTCCGTGCTCTCCTCTGCCCCGTGGCCAGGATGCACATCAGTGGCACTGCGGAGCCCACGCACGGCCACCTCGGGGGGATTCTCCTGCAAGATGCCATGGAGCTCCATCATGTTTCAGGTGCACCGAGCTCTGACGTTTCACAGCCAGCTGATGGCAGGGGAAATTCAGTGCCCTCAAATTGCTCAGGTTGCAGGCAGAGCTTCCAGAGACTCCCTCAGCATTCATACACCCATTAAGCAGGGTCTGGGCCATGCAAGAAGCCTTTGGGGGTTCAACCCATCTATCCACCAGTCCATCCTTCATCTCCCCGGCTCAGAGCTTGCCAAGCACAAGGCAGGTGTGATTGCTATCCAGGAATGATGCGGCTGCTAATCCTGAATGGTTCCCTGCCAATTCCTCACCTCTCTGCTCTGAAACGGTTCAGAAAGAACATCTGAAGAGGTTACCCCCGGCTGCCGGCAGCCAGGCTGCAGGACTGCCATCCAACAGGACAGAGCAGCTCCCGGGGAAGGGAACCAGACCATCCGACTTGCATTCCTGGTAGTCTAAGCCTAACATGGTGTCTAGCAGAGAAAGGCGGGAGGGCAAAGGTAAAGCAAGACAACAGGTAATGCTCGTGGTACCAAATGGTGGATTCTAGTTACACCTGGCAGGAGCTTTGTTTCCAGAGGCCAAGGAACAGCAGCATACAAAAACCACCGCTGTGCCCAGCACGATGCTCAACAGGAGCCCTGATCCAAGCCCCTCTGAAGTCAGTAGTGGCTGGATGGGGCTTACAGACCACAAGCAAGCAATATTTCATGGCAAGATACAACTCTTTTTTTTTTTTTTTTAACAAATCTGATGGTCTCAGACACCAGTTAACAAAAGTCTCCGCTCTGGGAAGCAGATAAATATTCAACACTCTCTCGCTCCTCCGTCATGCTCAAGAGGGTCTGCAACTGGAGCTGCAGAGCACAAGTCAGAGCCTCCGTTCCGAGTGAGCGGACGGTATCGATCATTTACCACCCCGAACTAATGGCAGGAGTATTTAGTATGCATATGGGAAATCTTCCCTTGCAGATCCATCTTAGGCACAATTTAAACCTCTGTGAGGATTACTAAGGAATTCAGAAGCCAAAGGAGCAGGCAAGAGCTTTCGCTCCTCTTGCACCGCAGGGGTTAATAAATTCCCCTTTAATCAGCCGTGTTAGCATCTTGATGAAACCTCTGACACCACCGAGCAGCTGGTGCTGCCGCAATATTTACAAACTGCATTACAGAAGCCTTGCCCCAACCCCACCAAAGGCAAACAGGCTGTGGCCCCATGCCGCCCCGCAAAAATCCCATCAAGAGGGCCTGATCCTTGTCACGGCCACGAGGTACGAACGGTATCTGGCCTTCAGGACGAGCCGTGAAAACCAGGTTCCTTGGGTTGGTCTCTGGTGGCTGGCAGGACGGTGATCCCATGACGCTTTGAAAAAGAGCGAGGGATCTCCCTGGCGTCCTGGCCAACGTCCACCTCGCCTCCGGCAAGGCTCGAGCATCCAAAGCCGCGCGGGAGCTCGGGCTCAGTGTCGCCTGGCATTTGCTGACCGCCCTGGCTAACTGTCAGCACGGCCGCAGGGTGTGGATTTATGCTGCCTGCAATTCCCCAGGCGCACCAGGTGCTCCCCACACCTCCCTCTGCCCCAAGGATCCCGGGGCCAGCCGGCATCGCTGAAACAGTCAGGGGCTCCCAGAGCACAGAGGAGAGAGCTGGAGATGAGGATGAGATGCTGACAACCACACCAATGCTCCCTGCTCAGGAACCGCATCTCCTCCAAGCCCCCCGCGCTCCTCTTCCCTCCTGCCCATCTCTCCAAACGCACCCCCTGGTCCAAGCACCCTAAGCACCCCACCCTGAGCAGCAGCTCCCTAGTCGGGCCCATCCCTCTGGAGCAGGACCAGGCACCCCCCAGACCGTGAGCAATTGGGCTTCGAAGCTGGAGAACGGGCTCGAGCTTCTTGTGTCGTTACTTACTTTGCTGCTGATCAAAGGCACACATTTAATTCGCCTCCGCGCTGGGCACCTCTGCTCTCTTCAAGGCACTGAGATGTTTTTCTTTGTGCAACCAGGCCGGCGAGCCTCCAGGGAGCCCTGCAAGCAGACGCAAACCGTTACTTCGTACTCTAATGAAGGTAAGTGGTGACCCAAGGGATACTGTTTTTTCAGAGCAGGGCTTCAGTGAGCTCCCGCTCAAGTTTTTCTGTAATAAAAGAACCTCAGAATACCCCAAAAGAGCAAAAAAAGGCCCACCCTGACAATTTTGTGATCTTGAGCATGAAGAATTAAAAATCCCAGGGGAGCCTGGAGAATCCTTGGGTCTTTCCGTGTGGATGCATGGAGGTAGGTCCTGAAGAACCTGGGTTCCCACCATCCCCCTGACCACCAGGACATAGCACAGATGTAAATTGGAAAGCATGGTAAGAACATACGCCTGCCAACACCTGATAGTCCAGTGCCGATGGAAGGGTGCAAGGGCTGGAAGAAATAATATTGGCAGAAATTGAGCTTAAGACAGCCGGTTGCAGAAGTCCTTTCATAGGGTAGGTCCTTGCAAGGAGCCATCCCTGCAGTGGAGCAGGGGCAGCGCTGGACCAGCTGCACCCCAAAGCCCTCACTGGCCAAGGACTTGCCTGGCCACAGAGAACGAGAAGAGCAAGTGTTTCTTTCTGGATGATATCTTGATTAGGAATAGGGAAAAGAAGTCCTAAAAACATCAGTAGCCATTTCATATCGTTAGTTTTTAAAGCAATGGATGTAGCACTTTGAAAAATTTCTGTGGAATGATGTTTTTTCATTTGTTAAAGGCCTTTTAAGCTTACTGGAAGAAAGCATCCCTCACCGGTATATTTGTTTCTTGAAAACAAAGAGTTTTAATTTACGGGGAAAAATTGAGAAAGTGGAAGTTGGCAAGAAAACCCACAAAAACCCAATGCTAAAAATAATCTTGAGAAATTAAAAAAAAGACCCCTGAAAATATAAAAATCTTAATGAAATCGTACCATTTGCAGAAAGTCACGCCTTTGAGAAACAACCTCATTTTACCTTCGAATTAGCTGACAAAATACACCAGCCAGCTCTAATGAAACTTTGATATCTGCCATCATCCCAGAATTGGAGTCAAGCTCTAGGATTTAAAAGGGGTTTTTTTACAGTTTTTCTTGCCTTCTGTTTTTGGGCCTTAAAGGATATCAAACCTTTCTGCATAATCACAGGAGATACTTAACTTTTTCTAAAGTTAAATGCTGTGCAAAAACTTATTCTTTGATGAAAGTTCAGATTCCTACCTAATTAGCTGGTTCCAAGAGCTGGCTTTCAAGGAAAACCCCAAACATCACGAGACTCTTGATAAAATTGTAGGCACTAACACGTGCGATCTGACAGCAGCCCCGAGGTGCATTAACATCTTGACCTTCCGTCTCCAAAGTAACCTCTGTCTGATCCGAAATGGGGAGCCCACGAGCACGCTGAGGTCCTCCAGGAAACCTCGGTGGTTGCAAAACCTTCTGATATACTTGCCCAAAAAAATGCAGTCTCTTCCAAAAAGTTCAGGAAATTCTTATAAGACACTCCCTAACTTCTTTTTTTTCCTTACTTCTTTCTGTGAACCATCTGAGGTTGTTCCGGAGCATCGTGGCATGCAGAGCACAAGCCCCACGGCACGCCTGGATCGCAGCTGGCTCTGCCAGGACGCTGCCTCTTACAGGCAACGGCCTTTGCCAAAAATTTTCATATCACAAGTCAAACCATTTTCATAGCTCTGAGCCTTTTTCTGTTTGATTCCAAGAAAAATCAATGAGAGAAATTGATTCTTTGCTTACCGTATCTCCATCAAGAGCTATTTAATATGGTGCTAAACCTTTTTTTTTTTAAGCTGCCACATAATCCTCACTGAGGACCTCTGCTTTATTTATGACCCGCTTTATCACCTGTTAGGCTGTAACGGGCTGTCTTTTATTTTTTGAGAGTTACAAATCACACCGGAGGTGACCACAGGCTTTCTGACCTTACAGTTTATCTTAAGGGTGCTTTGTTTTGCCCGGAAACCCAAGCGCTTTGGTACCTTCACAATCGCCAGGGCTGCCACTTCTTTTGCTAAAGTTCAGAGTTGGCTTCAGCGATGCCTCGGCAGGCAATCCTGCCCTTCTCCTCCATGTCCTGGTTAGTTTTCCCTTTCTTAGGGAGTTTGTCCTCGTTTCTTGCAGGAACCCAAGTGACAGTGGAGGTTCACGCCAAGGATACCACCCCACAACTCTTCAATAAATTCTCCTTTGGAAAAGGTACGGCCTGGGCTTTAAAGCCTGGCAGAGCGGGTCAAGGGGCCACATCCTTCCCTCTGTGGAAGCAGGGAGGGCAAGAAGCCCGGGAGCTCGAGGAGATGCTGCGGCCCTCGAGCCAGGGTCGGGGTTGCGGCGATCGTACTAACCATGCCGGGGTTGTTGCAGGTCCCCGGAGGCTGCCCAGCCTGAGAGGTCAGAACAAAGGTGAGGCTCTGCTCTACCACGGCACGTGTCTCCAGGCTAGCCCTTGCCCAGGAGCTTGTTCCCAGGAGGAGACAGGCTCCCTTTTCCCCACGGGAGCTCGAGGCTCTTGAGAAGATGCCAACCTCTCTGCCTGCTCTACCTGCTGAGCAGATGCTGCTGGACCCTGCCCGTGCCTGCGGCTTGAGGAGCAAAATCCTTCTGCCCCTGGGGCATGGGGGGGTCTTCTCCTCCTCCAGCCCTGGGATAAGGCGAGTGGTGACAGTCTGGGGGCCGCAGCGTCCCTCAGAAATCCTCCAGCTGCCACAGAGCTCTCTGCAGTTATCATCTAACAGCTCTGGAGCTCAGCTCTCCCTTCTTCCACGCCTGGGGGGGTCTGGCCAAGTGGTGGGCAGGGGTTTGATGTCCCCAGCCCTCAGGCTAGAACAGGAGATGCCTGACTGCTGGGGAATGCAGAGCGGCAGGACGGAGGGGAAGGGAGGCCGAGCACACTGCGGTCCAGGCTGTTTGCTTCGTCCCTCTCCCCTCCGCACCCACGCTCCGTAGGGCGTTGACATCCATGTCCAAATGCAAGGGAATGGGCAAAGAAAAGCAGCAATTTCAGCTTTTTCCACCCAGGCCCGCTCCCAGAATCACTTCTTTCTGTTTGTCTTTTTTTTTCCTGCCAACAAATGCTCACCTCGCGCTCCCTTCTCCACTTTGCTAGCTTTCCAGAAGACCGAAGCCCCGCGGCCTCCAGGAGGAAAAGACCTGCATGGTAACTATCAGCTGTCCCCTCGCCGCTGGCACGGTGGGGAACAACGCAGGGCAGCCCCAGATAGGAAGCCCATCAGTCCTAGAAACAGAGCTGTAGGGGATTTAATTTTTATTACCATGAGTAGCGTTCAGTTTCCCAATCCCCCGTTCATCAGGGTGGCAGATAGGGATGTAGCTTTAGGAATGTCACACGTGTCCGAGACCTTCCCAAGGTTCCACACCCAAGGAAAGGTTACTCTGCAAACAGACACGATGCACGCTTCCCAACTGCACAGGGCGACGTGAGAGACTGCAGATCCCACGTCTGCGGGGAGCCTTGGCAGCTATAACCTGACAAAGACAAAAACTGATAACCGACTTTAAAAAAAACACCCCATTCCCAAAAGGCAAAAAGTAATTTTCAGAGCTGCAGAGAGTGGGAACCTTTAAACGCGTAAATCTGCTTTATCTTTCTTTAGGTCAGCGTAATAGCCCTTTTCAGGGAAAACCAAGATAAACAAAGCAGCCTGTTAAAGAAAGAGATGCCGTGTGCCTACACGCTGATTTTGGCAGAGAGGCACCTGCCTTGCCAAGGGATGTGCCTGCATCCCACCTGGCAGGCTGCACCATCACCGGGACGTGGGATGCCCCATAACCCCTCCACGGGGCAGAGGTTTCCAAGAAGAGCAGGGCCCATGTTAACAAAACACCTTTGCACGTCAGGAATAAACCTTCTGGCCACCTCCCCAGTGGGCTGGAGCTGGCAGCAAAGGGACCAGAGCCCCATTTTGGGGAGGTGGAGAGGGAGCAGGTGATGAACATAGATTTTAGAAGCACCTCTGGCTTCTCAGCTGGGATAAGATGCTCTCGGAGCCTCTCGTGCATCCCACCAGCACTCGCTAAGCAGGCAGCAAAGGGGCATCCCACTTGCTTAGCAAGGGTCACAAATAAAGCAATATGCAACCAGCCAAAGCCTCTCTGCCCCCATGCACAGCCCAAGGCAGTTCACTTCTCCGTGTCACCTCTCTCCAGGCAAACAGCATTTCTACGGCACCCTTCATTCACCTCTCCTAGCACTCGGGAGTCACACAACACCATTTTCACTTCGTGATCTCTTTTAAATCCTTTTTTCCAGGGAAATAACAATCCTTCAGAGATAGCTAGAAGAATCTCTTTAGTCCTGAATGGCTTTGACAGCACATGACAGGGGAAGAGATTGCTGTAGAGCTCAATTCTCCTCTCACCAGCTCAGAAGAAAAGGGAGGGCTGAGCAGACGGCGGTCCAGGGGAGATGTCCATCCGATATGTCTGTGCACCGAGCTATAGCCGCATCACTCGGGTGGCTCGCTGATGAGAGAGAACAGTGTCAGCTCGTTCAGAGACTGTTAAAAAAATAAGTTATCTGATTAATTAGGGCAAGTTATTAACCCTTGGTTCCCATGGAGTAGAGCCGGGAGCCTAGAGCCTGCAAAGATGCAAACAGAGGGGCAAGCACACCAGTTTCAGTCCGACTGCTCCCCACGTAACATTTCTCACGTGCTTGAATTCGTGCAGAATCAGAGCCTTTTACCACGCATAACAGTCATTGCTTTCAACAAAACGACTGGAGAAATCCAGCTCTCTAGTGGGGTTTTTTTAAAAGTCACGTTTTTGCCAGGGTTTCCACAGTACAGATTGTCCCTGATACTTCTGCATTATCTCTTGCGCACCTCCATATAACATCCTGGGATTTTCTATGCTGTTACACAGTGCCAATGAGGCAGATGCACCTCCCGCTCCAGATTGCCCAAATTATACCAGACTAGACAGGATGGCTCCTGTTTTCCCTGCAGCTGGCAGGGACCTTCTGCGAGTGCCCTCGTGTCCTCTGCTCCCTAAGCACCCGCTGATGGATGCCTCAGTGGGTCGGGCAGGAGCTCTGCAGTGTCCTCTTGTTCAAGCGTACAGCCAGGAAAATAGTCCCCTCCCTTCCCGAGACAATGACAACTCATTTCTTCCCAGCATATCCATGGGACAAATCCTCTCTGAAATCCATGCCAGTAGATCTGCAGCAATTTGAGAAGCTGGATGCCTACGCATTAAAAGTAAGTCTTGCTTTTGCCTCTGTCCTCCTCCCAGCTCCCCTGCGGGGACGTTCCTTGAAACCGAGCTACCAGCACTAACACCAGCTTAGTCTGAGCTATTGGGGCAAGTGCCTCAAAATCTCCCAAGCAAGTGAAAAACCGTTTCCTTGCAAACATCAGCAACACAGATCCCACTCTAGGAGAAACTAGGGAAACTATGACCAAAAATACTTGCTCGAAACGTGAAACTACAGCTTTGTATTTCTGTTTTTAATGAAGCTCAGGTCAGAGCAGTCTCCTGGCAGGTGATGTCTCAGTAGCTTGAGAAGAACAAGGGAGCAGGGAGGAAGGGAGATCTACCGTAGCAATTTCTTCACCATCATCTTGCAATGCTTCCTCCTCACAAACAGGTAAACGTCAAGAACAGCGTAGAGGAACTTGTTAAAGCCCTGCTTAAACAAGCCCGGACTGATCTGGAAAAAGTTCGAGCCATATGGATGTGGATATGCCACCACATAGGTAGGTTGAGATCTTCAGTTGAGCAGATAAGGCTGTTGCTGTCACCCCCGTTACGCTGCCATCGCAGTTTATGCAGTATCTTGTGGGTTAGTTTCACGTGGTGGGTGGGAGGAAGGCTTTCTGAGTGTATTTATCCAGAAATGTACTCAGAGGTTATCTCACCATCTCTGTTTCCATAGTCCCTCTCCTAGTGCTGCCATGCCCTACAAGGTTTGCCTGCAAATGGTTTCTTTCCACGTGATGAATCTGTAACTCCTACCTGACTTATTCGAAGGTATAACCATACAAATCCCCATCATCTAAGCAGCTGGAGCACGAAGTCAGTCTGCCAAGCACCAGAGGCTTGGTTGTCACATTCAGAGCCAGTCAAAGTCACCAAAAGTTTTATCTCCACCACTGTCCCGAATGCCCATGTTCCCCTTCCCAGCGCACTCTGCACGCCAGTGTCTTTGCTCCGGGAGGGTCTCGGCGTAGCGCAGGTACCACCAGGAACCATCAGCTGCCTTGACCAGCTCGGTCTCATTCTGCAGCTCCTCTGTTACTGCTTCTTTGGGCAGCAGACCACCCCTTGCAAGGAGCAGCCTGGACAGCCTGGCGCTGAGCACAGCCCCTCCTGGGTGAGGTGCCTCTGGCAGTCTGTTGGCTGTTTCGCTGCCAGTTTTGCCCACGTTTTGTGGATACAGCTTGTGTTCCAGTTTCTAGCTGGTACCTAACTGCATTCATCCTGTTGACACATCCATCAGCCACATCAGCGCAGTGCATCAGAGAGGCCAGCTTTCATAAAACGCGCTGGTATCTGCGTGATTGCCGTTCCTGCCCGTACCTGCACCCTTTCAACCTTCATGAGAGCTGCAATCACTCAGCTTCCCCTGCCCCTTCCTACCCAGCCCCAGCCTGAGCAACACTGGAGTTTCCGAAATCACCAAAAGATGCGAAGAGGACAAGGGAGGAGGAGGCAGCATTTGTAGCCTCTCCAGTCTGGCACATCAGAGGGGGTGAAAGGCTTCTTGCCACCCCAAGCTCCTTGGTGGGGGAAACTGGATATGCAACATGATTGTGTTACGCACAACAGATGCAAAAATGTTTCTTTGCCATTAACTCTTGGGGATAAAGGGGGAGAAGTACAGCTCTTCTTTCTCTTGCCTCTTATGCATCCTGACGGGATCCGGTGGGGCACAGTTCGCTGGCTGAACAGGGCAGCTGCGGGGGAGCAGAAGAGCCATTTGGGGAGCACTGGCCTAATCTCACGCCCACTGAGATCAGCAGCGCTTTACCAGCAACTGCACGGTTAGCACAGGTCAATCCCAAACAGCTTTAATCTTGCCCTTAAATATGCAGACTGCTGATTTCACTGCATTTCCCGAAACCCAGCATTTGATTCATCCCAGTGCCGAGCTCCCGTTGGCCGCTGGTCATTCAGTTTTTATGCTATTAACTCATTTCTGCCGGCCACTGCCTGGGCCAGAGCCTGCTTGGGAAGGCCGGTCTGGTTGGAGTCGGTCCATTTACCTAACACGCATTCAGGGGGTGTCTCTGACCCCCGACAGGTACACAGTGATCTCACAAGGTGCTGGGGTTTTTTTCACTGTCTTGGCTCCACTTCTCCTTCCTTCCTGCAGAGACTGACTCCTATTTACATGCATGGGAAATAAACACAGCGCTAGGAATTTAAATTGGCTCACAAAAATGTAATGTATCCATCCTGCAAGAGCACTGACAATATAAACTCCTTCCTTGTTTGGATTTTAAGTGAGAGCGCTGCTGCCTGGCTAACTATTCCCACCCAATTCAACTCCCCGCCTGCGATGGACTGCTACCTCCATGCAGCAGTAGCTCTAAAAGAAATTATTTTACTTATCACTTCTAGCATAAATACAGAGCCACGTGCAGCCAGCTAGCTCTCCGTACCCCCCTAAAGTGCTCTGCAGCTTTGCTGGTGGCCCAGTGAAGAGCCTGGGTGGAGACAACCAGCCTTTCCTCGCAGCCCCCCAAGCCCACCCTGGGGCAGCCATCAGCTGAGCCCCTCAGATAAAAGACAAGCAGTTGCAGCATTTCATCAAAGCACAAATACAGCATGTTGCCAGCTTTTTTTTTTTTTTCCTCCCTTCTTCCACAGCATTAAAGGGAGAATGAATCAGCTGATGCAGCATTCCTTAGAGCTTTGTCAGAAAAATATGTTCGTATTTTAAGAAAGAGGTTATGGACGTGACTAAGGTTGGTCGGTACTGAATTAACCTTCCCAGACCAGTTCCTCAAGCTCTGTCTGAAGGAACCCTGCTGTGTCGCTTTTCCACGTTCATTCAAACAAATTAAGATTTCCTATGCTTCCAGGTATTAATATGATTCACTTGCAACAAATCATTTCAGGTTATTTCCCAACAAGCTACTTTCCAGGTATTTTTAATATAAATTGCTTGTAAAAAGAGCAAAAGGCTCAATGGTTTCCTTTGACAGTAACATGAGTCTGACTCCTTCAAATGCAGAGCACACTCTTTTTTTTTTTTACCAGGAGCTCTTGAGATTGTAGATCCCCAGAGGCACAAGGGCACCCCCCGGGGAGGCCCACTTTCTCTAAAAAACCAGAGTTTCCCTCCCATTTGGATTCAACTGCTGAATCCCAGCTCAGGCTTAGAACAAACAGTGACGAGAGATAGACCCCACCAGCCATCCACGACATCCTTGCGCAGCACGCACCACGGCTCGTTTCTCTTTGCTCGCACACACGGAGATGAAAAGCAATCCAAGCGTTGCTCCTGCTGCCCGTCGATCCCATTGCCTCGGGCTTTTGGATGAACTTTCGTCTGTGTTCCTTCCCGCAGAATACGACATAGTGGGCTACCATAACAAAAGCCAGCTGTCGAGCAAACCCATAGATGTGCTTCAGAAGGGGAAGAGCATTTGTGAGGGATACGCTGGGCTCTTTGAACAAATGTGCAGGTAAATTAAGCTCAGAAACATTCAATGCCAGGGAGAGTTAATGTTCATTGTCATCTCTGTGCCTATGCTGTCTGCCTTTGCATTGACTGATGTGACTTTAAGCAGAATGTGGAACTTTAGCTTTCAAACCATGCTGTGGAAAAACAGCAAGTCCTAGAAAGGTCAATTTTGCTTCCTCCTCCACCCCCTCCAC